ACCCTAAACCCTAAGTCCGAATGCCTAAAACACTGAACCCACAATCCAAACCTAAACCCTAGAGCCAAAACCCCGAAAAAAGCCTGCCCCTGTCACACTTTGAAGGGCCGCAAATTAGAAGAGGGGGTTTCGGGCTTTAGGTTTTTTTTTTTTTTTTTTTTTTTTTTGGGGGGGGGGGGGGTAGTGTTTAGGGTTTAGGGTTAGGGTCTATGGTCTAAAGTGTAGAAATGTTCAGAAGTTTAGGGTTTTGGGTTGCGAAATCATGGGTTTAAGGTGAAACAGACACCCTAAACCCTAAACCCGAAACATAAACCGTAAACCCGTGCTTAGGGCAGGCATGGAGGTGGAAGATTCGGGCAGTAGCTTGCGAAGTGCAAATGCCCGTCAATGCATATGCCTTGACATAAAACCCATCAATCACCCTTGGGTTTAGGGTTAATCTGGGGATTTGGGGTTTAGGGTTTAAGGCTTAAAGCCGCATCCGAAAACCCAAAACCCTTGGGCGAGTTGCGCCGCATCCGTGTTGGGCATCAGCTCACCAACCTTCTCGAACTTCTTGATGTTAGGATCATAGAGGTACCTGGATAAAAGGTTTCTCGTTAGGGTTTAGGGCTTAGGGCTTTGGATTTAGCCTCTCGTCAACACAAGCCCTGAAAACCCTAAGACTCCTGAAACCTTGTGTCTCGAAATTTAAACCTTCAAACCCTGAAGCCCTAAACCCGAAGAACCTGAAAACCCTACGGCCCTGACCCCCAAGACTCCTAAACCCCCTTAAGCCATACGTCGCCACGCTTAACAGTCGCCCCCAAACCCTGGACACAAAACCCTAAGCCCTTAACTCGCACACCGGACTATCCTCCAAACCCTGTGCCCTCAGCCCTCAACCCTAAAGCCCTCGACCCTAACCTACACCCTAACCGCGAAGCCCTCGACCTGCAACCACCCCAAATCCTTCTTGGAGGTTCCTGGGTAGTTATAACCCCAGTTACAAGTTACAAGTCTACTCTATCACCTAAACTTAGAGGAATTTGGGTGTGGCTGATAAGCGCAATTCGACCTGAGGTTACATATTAGTACCACGAACCTCCAAGTAGGGCCCCTCGACACCCTGAACCCTAAACCCTAAACCCCAAACCCTAAACCCTAAACCGGAATCCTAAGCCCCAGCCAGAGGCAGGAAGCCGAAACCAAAACTGTCCTAATGTTAGGGACTCTAAGCCGAAACCCCAAAAAACCAACACCCTTAAAACCCAAAACCCTAAAACCTAAACCCTAAACCCTAAACCCTAAACCCGAAGTCCGCAACGGCTCTAAGCTCATGCCCAAGCACTGGAAGGCTGGCAGCTTGCTCTTTCCTGGCTCCCAGAAGTGGGCCAAAATGCTCCTGGAGAGAGCTTCAAGGGGGGGGGGGGGGGGGGGGGAGGGGAGTAGGGTTTTAGGAGCCCTAAACCCTAAACCCTAAACCCTAAACCCTAAACCCCAAAGCCCTAGGCCCTAGGAGCCCTAAAACCTAGGAGCCCTTAACCCTAGGAGCCCTAAACCCTCAGCCCGACAACGAACCAAGAGAGCCCTGTACCCCTTAATTACAGGAGAATACCTTACACGACATATCCAGGAACTCCAATACTACCCCTTCATTGGAATATTCCTTAAAATGTCGAAGGGTTCTTTACATGGTTTAAGGAAGGAGGATTGGAGTCTCTGGGTAGGGACCCTTGCAGTAATTTAGCTAAGGCCTCTGCCTTAATTTAAGGGCGTGTAGAGGGCTCTTTGGGAATATTCGGGTAGCCGAGGCGAGAGGGAAGATACGGCCATAGGGTGACCAAAATCGGGGGCCACCAAACCCCTACACCCTAAATTCCTAAACCCTAAACCCTGGTCCAAGGCTCGACTGCGGCGGACCACCCTGTGGGCCTTCGATGGACACCTGCAGAGCTGTGTCACGCTCCCCTAGGCCCCCAAATCAAAGGGTTTAGGGTTAGGGTTGGGGGTTTAGGGTTTAGGGTTTAGCGTTTAGGTTTAAAGGGTCTGGGGCTTTGGGTCCCACCTGTCGCTCCATTACCTTGAAATTTTAGTCGTGGTGGTGGTGGTGGAGGTGGAGGTGGAGGTGGTGGTGGTGCTGGTGGTGGTGCTGGTGGTGGTGGTGGTGGTGGTGGTGGTGGTCGTGGTGGTGTTGTTGGTGGTGGTGCTGCTGCTGCTGCTGGTGGTGGTGGTGCTGCTGCTGCTGCTGCTGGCGGGCGTGCTGCTGGTGGAGGTGGTGGAGGTGGTGGTGGTGCTGGTGGTAGTGGTGGTGGTGGGTACAACCCATAGGGCTGTAGGTAAATCATCGAGTCGAGGTAAGGCCCAAAACTCCAACATTTTCCCCAAACCCGCGCCGGAGAAAATGAACCCTGAAAATCACGTGGTCCACCATCAGTTTAGTCGTACTTGGGGGGTCCGAATAAGTACGAATAGTTTTCCCTCATGGTCCCTTTCTAATTACACTAGAATAATAACCCCCCCCCCCCCCCCCAAACCCTATTCCAATTATTAAGGCCTACCCTAAACCCTAATTAAACCCCTAGCCCTAGAGCCTAAACCCTAAGCCCTTTTTTAAAAAAGAGAACTGAGCCCGAGGTGCATCGATAAGCCCTAAACCAGCCTGCGCCCCAAATCGCTCCCCATGCCCTCCAAACTAAACCCCAAATGATGACCCCGTACCCTCGACCCCAAATCACCTAAACCCTGAACCCTAAACCCTAAGCTCTAAACCCTGAACCCTAGCCCTAAACCCTAAACCCTAAACCCGAAACCCTAAACCCTAAACCCAAACCCTAAACCCGAAACCCGAAACCCGAAACCTCGGTCCACCTTGTAGGGCAGCCGCCCCGTCTCGGCGATGTGCCGCACGAAGAGCCCCGTCTTGTTGATTGCGTAGGCACCTTCCCAGTAACTCTAAACCCTAAACCCTACACCCTGATATTTTAGGGTTTTGGGGTTTGAGGGCTTGAGGCTCAAAACCCCCGGCGGCGTTGAGTGAGGGTCCATGCTGGGGCGCAGGCTGTCGGGTCTAACCCTGAACTCCCCTAAGCTCTAAAACCCTAAGCCCTAATTAAACCCTAAACTCTAAACCCTAAACCCTGAACCCTAAACCCCATATATCCAACCTGGGGGCTCAGGCTTTATGTTGGCTTCAGGGCTTCAGGGTTTCAGGGTCTTAGGGTCTTAGGGTTTTAGGGTTGTACAGTACGGTTTTCGGGTTTTAGGGTTGTACGGTTTTAGGGTTGTACGGTTTTAGGGTGTAGAGTTGTAGGGTTGTAGGGTTTTAGGGTTTTGGGGTACCGATCGTCGTACTTGGAATTCTGGTCCAACCCCAGGCCCGCGGCCCAAATTGCCAGAACTCCACCTCCCTAAATCCTGAACCCTAAATCCTGCATCCTAAACCCTAAACCCTAAATCTGAACCCTAAACCTCCTTGCAGCAACAAACACGGGATCCAACCAACTCGATGCAAGTCGACCCCGACCCCCATGTAAGTGGTCCTGTGCACAAGGAAGCCATGCCCTGCATGCCAGAAGGTACCAAGAATCGGCACCATAATTTTGAACAGTCCCTAAACCCTACACCCTACACCCCCTAGTAGCAATAGCATCCAAACCGAACTTATGGACCATTTTGGGAGTACAGTTTCAATCTCTCCTCTTCCCTTCAGGGTACTTTGGTCGGCTGATATTAACTGGAATAAGAAGCCTGGTTGCAGATCAGAACTCGTAAGCTTGGAAACGGCTGTGCTGATAGCATGGAGCTCTTGACAAGCAGGCAAAACCACACGCAAGGAAACACTCCCTGCCGCGTCGTGCCGTTAGCCCCTAATTCCCCTAAGCCCTAAGCCCGAAACCCTAAGCCCTAGCCCTAAGGCCTAAGCCGCCCTCAGCCCTGAAACCCTAAACCCTAAACCCTAAACCCTAAAACCTAAACCCTAAACCCTAAACCCTAGCCCTAAACCCTAAACCCAACCCCCCCCCCAACCCCCGCCTTGCCAAAGCTCGACACCGCTGCCACAGCCTTCCGAGTACATCGGAAACCTGTCAAGGGCAGAAGAAGCAAATGCAAATCGCTACTTCGGGTTTAGGGTTTAGGGTTTAGGGTTTAGGGTTTAGGGTTTAGGGTTCAGGCTTCAGGGTCCCTAAACCCTACATCCTGAAGCCTAGAAACCCTAACCTAAACCAATTACGGGGTGTAGGGATGCAAGAACGGGATTAAGGGCTTAAGGGCTCCAAGGCTGCAAGGGCTTAAGTGCTTCAGGGAAGGGTTTAGGGTTTAGGGTTTAGGGTTTAGGGTTTAGGGTTTAGGGTTTAGGGTTTAGGGTTTAGGGTTTAGGGTTTAGGGTTTAGGGTTTAGGGTTTAGGGTTTAGGGTTTAGGGTTTAGGGTTTAGGGTTTAGGGTTTAGGTGTTAGGGTTTAGGGTTTAGGGTTTAGGGTTTAGGGTTTAGGGTTTAGGGTTTAGGGTTTAGGGTTTAGGGTTTAGGGTTTAGGGTTTAGGGTTTAGGGTTTAGGGTTTAGGGTTTAGAGTTTAGGGTTTAGAGTTTAGGGTTTAGGGTGTAGGGTTTGAGGGTATGAGAGAGCTTAAGGGCTCGAAGGGTAACTGTGCAAACATTGCCACACACAATGCCCTTGTGAATTCAGGGTCTCGCGCACCCTAAGTTCGTAAACCCTGTACTTGGAGGTTCATAACCCCATAGGGTTAAGGGTTTAAGGTTTGGGTTCAGGGTTTAGTAAGTAGGTATCTAATAGAACTACAAGCAGGATAACTCAAACTAGGGGTCCCTTTTAGGGTACAGAACTTATACGGCTACTTACTATCTACATACTAAGTCCCCCGACCCTCCAAGTAAGACCTCCAAGTGCGTATGTTATAAGTAGACGTACAATTGGGGTAACGGTTACAAAGTACCCATGAACCCTGAACCTAAAACTAAACCCTAAACCCTAAACCCTAAACCCTAAACCCAGTATCCCAGTTCATCCGAGGCTCACGTGCCACATGGCGTGGTACACGTCCAGGATGACGTCGACCCCCGCCTGGGCAGCGATCTGGGCGACCTCGGTTAGGGTTTAGGGTTTAGGGTTGAGGGTTGAGGGTTTAGGGTTTAGGGTTTAGGGTTTTCTGGTTGCCCTTAGTCATAGTCTTCACGCTTGCCACAGCCTAGCAGCCGTTCCAAACCAACAGACAGGGAGAGAGAGAGAGAGAGAGAGAGCAACACCAGTGCTGAGTTCAAAGCGTAGTGTGTGATTTTAAGGCTTAGGGTCCAGCACGCTCAAACTTGGAAGGTTCCCCCTGATACCAAAGTCCTTAACGGGGATTGCAGTACCCCCTATCAGAGTCCCTATTCAGGACTGTTGGTAGAAAAGGGAACATCCCAACCCTTGCCCCTAAAATTGAAAGGTCATCCCCACAGAGCAACCTCACACACAACGACAAGCAACCTTATGCCCCGGCTAAGCTCTTATCCCGAAATCCCAACAAACTTTACACCCTAAACCGCAAACCTGGCCATCTCAAGAGCCTAAAAACACCCTAAACTAGACCACAAATACAGTACATAAACCCAAGCCCTGCACCTTCACCCTAAACCCTAAACCCCTAAACTCCGAACCCAGAGCCCTAAAGCTTAAGAACAGCTGCGTGGACAGAGTCTCCCAGGATGGACTCAGATGCGCCGACGTTGAAGAAAAGTGGGGGCACGTGACCTGCCGTGGCTTGCACCGCAGGGATTGGGGTTCTAGGGTCTAGGGTCTAGGGTCTAGGGTCTAGGGTCTAGGGTCTAGGGTTTAGGGTTTAGGGTTTAGGGTTTAGGGTTTAGGGTTTAGGGTTTAGGGTTTAGGGTTTAGGGTTTAGGGTTTAGGGTTTAGGGTTGCAGTTCAGGGCTTGGGGCTTAGGGATTTGCTTGTCTTTGGTCTCGCTCCGCATCGCAGGCTTAGATGTGCCTTCCGCCAGCAGCTGGGATCTGTTTGAGCAGTAGCCCTAAACCCCAAACCCTAAACCCTAAACCCTAAACCCCAAACCCCAAACTGCCTGTGAATTCGGTGACCTCCGCAAAGAAGGGGGAGGCGATGGGATCCGTTTGGAGCTCGTCCAGTCCTCGGGATGCCGGGTTTAGGGTTTAGGGCTTTAAGGTCCTAGACTATCCCTTGAGTGCTATGTCAAAACATAATGCTACCACACATACATATACATATACATATATACATATACATATATATATATATGTATAAGTATACCTCCCTAAACCCTACGCCCTAAACCCTAAACCCTACTTTATGCTATACATACATATCTACATAACTATACATAACTATATGTACGTATGTATATATATATGTATATGCATATGTATATGTATATGTATATGTATATATATATATATATGTATATATATATGTATATATATTCATAGAAAACTAACATATGTATATACGCAGGGAAAAATTTCAGAGACGCTTCGATCACCAGGTGGAAGCCCCTTTGACTTTGCAAGTAAGGTTAGCAAGTTGGGCTTTGGGGATTACTAAGGAGTTTAGGGTTTAGGGTTTAAGGTTTAGAGTTGGGTTATGGGGTTTAGGGTTTAGGGTTTAGGGTTTAGGGTTCAGGGTTTAGGGCTGGTTTCAAGCGGACAGTACATAGACTTGCTAAGTTAAAAAAGGGCTTCCGGGCAAGGGGATGCTTCAGGTTTGAGGGTTTAGGGCTTAGGGCTTGGGGAGGGTGCAGCGCAGTCTATGTTAGGGCTTGCGGATTGGGAGGTTTGGTATCCATAAGCCCCAAACTCCGTGATTCAGGAAGACCCAAGAAGGGTTTAGGGTTTAGGGTTTAGGGTTTAGGGTTTAGGGTTTAGCTCCTGAACCCTGAGCCTCTGAGCCCCTTCGAAGGTTTTAAGCCCTCCGGGTTTGGGCCACCCTGAACCAGGAACCCTTCGACCCCAAAAACCTTAGCCGAAATTGCCCTCCGAACCCTAAACCCTAAACCCTAAACCCTAAACCCTAAACCCTAAACCCTAAACCGGAGAGTGATCCTGGTTGCCGGGGCACCGCCAAGATACTCCACGGCATTGCCCTCGAACGCGTCCGCGTTCTCGGGCGTAATCTGCTGGAACAGGATGTCGCCCGTGTACATCTGCAGCTGGGTGTGGTCCTGCTCAGGGGCCACATAATTATGCCGACGAGAAACTAGATAGCCCCAGAAGTTGGAATCCTACGCCCATTAGAACACTAGTCCCTAAACCCTAAACCCTAGACCCTAAACCCTAAACCCTAGACCCTAAACCCTCAACCACGGGCCCTAAGCCGTAAACACTAAACGCAGGCTCCTTGAACCTCCCGGAGTTCTCGATCCTGGAGAAGGCGTTGGTGTAGTACTCCGGGGTGTTGCACATGAGGTTCGTCCTGCTTTCGAGTTTGGGGTTTAGGGTTTAAAATTTAGGGTTTGGGGTTTGGGGTTTAGGGTTTGGGGTTTAGGGTTTAGGGTTTCGCCGAGCAAAGGAAGGCCAGTTAGAGGTGGGTTTTTGGTACATCTTCTCCTAGAATAGACGGCATCTTAGGCTAGCTACATGGTCCCTTCATATCGGCTCTTAAAGGGGGACCCCTTATATACCCCTAAACAGTACCCTACACAACCAAAGAGCCCATACTTCAGAACCCTTTAAAGGAGGTCAGGGACCATATTGAGGGGCCATGAAACTACCCTTAAGAAGGTTTGTGTAAGCCAAACAGTCGAGGGTTGATACAATCCTCTTGTAATGACTAGGGTTCTTACTTCCTACATGGGGGCTTCCGAAAGTTTGGGTACCTTATTGGGGTGCTGAATATAAGGGAATCCTACTACTTGGGGGGGGGGGGGGGGGCGGGGGCTGTTATAGAAGTCCCTTCTCTTCGTAAACCCCCACATAAGCCTCTTAGAATACAGGGGTTTGTAGAAGTCTCCTGGATGACTCTTTCTAAGGGAATCATGGGCTTGCATGCTAGTCGGCTTAAGTGCCCCCAAGTATGCCTTAATTATGGGGGCAAGCTAGGGGGGTGGGTGGGGGGGGGGGTTAGTATAGTATAGAAGGGGGTAGTAGGGGAACCCGTAGACCCCTAAACCCTAACCCTGTGAGGGGGGGTAGTAGGGGAACCCATGAGGGAAGCTGGGAGGTTGTGGGAGTTTAGGCGCTCGATTTATTGAAGGCAGGTCATAGAGTTGACACTAGAAAGACCAAGTGCGAGTACTTGATGTTTTAGGGTTTAGGCTTTAGGGGTCCAAAGGTTTTCAACTGCTGTGAGGATTACTGTGCGTGCGGGTTCTTCTTGAGTTGCCCCTTGCTTCCCGGACACATCTTCCATAAACACCACGGCCGTTCCAGAAATATTCAAAACCTGCAGACCCATGCCCTAAACCCTAAACCGTAAACCCTAAACCCTAAGCCTTGAAACCGAAGGTTGGATGTATGACTGCACGGGTCCAGGGGCTATAGAAGAAGGCCCCGTCCAGTGGGCGCTTGAGGAGGTGTGGCCTTAATGCACGGTTTAGGGTTGAGGGTTTAGGGTTTAGGTGTTGGGGTTTAGGGTTTAGGGTTTAGGCTTTAGGGTTTAGGGTTTAGGGTTTAGGGTTTAGGGTTTAGGGTTGCAGGGTTTAGGGTTTAGGGTTTAGGGTTTAGGGTTTGGGGTACCCCTGAACCCCCCCCAGAAACCTAAACCCTCAACCCGAAAACCCTAAACCCGAACCCTAAACCCTCAACCCCGAAGCTCTAAACCCTCAACCCCGAAGCTCTAAACCCGAAATCCTAAACCAAGCCCCCCCCTCCCCCCCCTCCCCCCCCCTCCCTCCCCCCCTCCCCTCCCTCCCTCCCCCCCCTCCCTCCCTCCCCCCCCTCCCTCCCCTCCCCCCCTCCCCCCCCCCCTCCTCCCTCCCTCCCCCCCCTCCCCCCCCCCCCCTCCCCTCCCCTCCCCCCCCCTCCCTCCCCTCCCTCCCCCCCCCTCCCTCCTCCCCCCCCCTCCCTCCCCCCCCTCCCCCCCTCCCTCCCCCCCCCCTCCCCCCCCCCCCCCCCCCACCCTCCTCCCCCCCCCCTCCCCCTCCTCCCGCCCCCCTCCCTCCCCCCCCTCCCTCCCCCCCTCCCTCCCCCCCTCCCTCCCCCCCCCCCCCTCCCCCCCTCCCTCCCCCCCTCCCCCCCCCTCCCCCCCCCCCCCCCTCCCCCCCCTCCCCCCCCCCTCCCCCCCCCCCCCCCCCCCCCCCCCTCCCCCCCCTCCCACCCCCCCCCCCCCCTCCCCCCCTCCCCCCCCCCCCCCCCCCCTCCCTCCCCCCCCCCCCCCCCCCCCCTCCCCCCCCCCCCCTCCCCCCCCCCTCCCCCCCCCCCCCCCCCCCCCCCTCCCCCCCCTCCCCCCCCCTCCCCCCCCCTCCCCCCCCCCTCCCCCCCCCCCCCCACCCCCCCCCTCCCCCCTCCCCCCCCTCCCCCCCCCCCCCCCCCCCCCCCCCCCCTCCCCCCTCCCCCCCCCTCCCCCCCCCTCCCCCCCCTCCCCCCCTCCCCCCCCTCCCCCCCCCTCCTCCCCCCCTCCCTCCCTCCCCCCCCCCCCCCCCCCTCCCCCTCCCCCCCCCTCCCCCCCCCCCCCCCCCCCCCCCCCCTCCCCGCCCCCCCCCCCCCTCCCTCCTCCCCTCCCCCCCTCCCTCCCTCCCCCTCCCTCCCCCCCCCCTCCCCCCCCTCCCCCCCCTCCCTCCCCCCTCCCATCCCCCCCTCCCTCCCCCCCCCCTCCCCCCCCCCTCCCCCCCCCCCCCCCCCCCTCCCCCCCCCCCCACCCCTCTCCTCCCCCCCCCCCCCCCCCTCCCCCCCCCCTCCCCCCCCCCCTCCCCCCCCCCCCCCCCCCCCCCCCCCCCCCCCTCCCCCCCCCTCCCCCCCCCTCCCCCCCCCCCCCCCCCTCCCCCCCCCTTCCCCCCCCCCTCCCCCCCCCTCCCCCTCCCCCCCCCCCTCCCCCCCTCCCCCCCCCTCCTCCCCCCCCCTCCCCCCCCTCCCCCCCCCTCCCCCCCCCCATCCCCCCCCCCCTCCTCCCCTCCCCCCCCTCCCCCCCCCTCCCCCCCCCCCTCCCCCCCCCCCCCCCCCCCCCCCCCCCCTCCCCCCCCTCCCCCCCCCCCCCCCCTCCCCCCCTCCCCCCCCTCCCCCCCCCTCCCCCCCCCCCCCCCTCCCCCCCCCCCCCCCCCCCTCCCCCCCCCTCCCCCCCCCTCCCCCCCCCCCCCCCCCCCTCCCCCCCCCCCCCCCCCCCTCCCCCCCTCCCCTCCCCCCCCCCCCCCCCTCCCCCCCTCCCCCCCCCCCCCCCCCCCCCCCTCCCCCCCCCCCCCCCCCCCCCCCCCCCTCCCCAAAGCCTGGTTCGCTTTTCAGGGTTTGCTCCACAACCGCTCCTCCCCCTCCTCTCCTCCCCTCTCCCCCCCCCACTGCAAAGCCCTGCTTAGTTTCGGAGTTTCGGCAAACCCTAAACCCTAAACCCCAAACCCCAAACCCTAAACCCTAAACCCTACACCCGCTTCAGTTCAGAGCTTGACCCGGAGTTGCCTCCGCAAGGATTCAAGGCGAAAGGGTTCTCAGATTGGAATCTACTTCGGGTTGGGTGCTAGTTTACCCAAACTCTGAACCCAGTTTAGGGTTTTAGGGTTTAGGGTGCCTCACCCCTAACCCTAAACCCAATACAACGTACACCTTCTAACTTCGACCCGCAAGCTCTCAGATGGGCGGCTTCTTGGAGAGTGTCAGCACCAGGGACAAGGTGGTCCCGCCGCCGGAACTGTCACCTCCCACGAACAGCGGCGGCCGCTCTGTGCAGCCTGGCGCTTTTGACGGGTGTAGGGTTGAGGGTAGTTTAGGGTTTAGGGTTTAGCGTTTGGGGTGTAGAGTTTAGGGTTTGGGGTTTAGGGTTTAGGGCTTGGGTTTAGCGTTTGGGGTGTAGGGTTTAGGGTTTAGGGTCTAGCGTTTGGGGTGTAGGGTTTAGGGTTTAGGGTTTAGGGTTTAGGGTTTAGCGTTTGGGGTGTAGGGTCTAGGGATTTGAGGTCGAAGGGAGGAGACGGGACATGACTGGCTCCTGAGACGATCAGGAGCTCGATGCTGTCTCAAATGCAGCGGTCCTCCCTAAGCAAGGTGAATATATCCAGCAGTTCTGATACAGGAAACTCTGTTCCATAAGCCCTAAACCCTAAACCCTAGGCCCTAAACCCTAAACCCTAAACCCGAAACCCTAAACCCTAAACCCTAAACCCTAAACCCTCAACCAGACAGGTTCTAGGGTGGGCAGAGGAGGAACCCTAAACCTAAAAACCCTTTGGAGGTTCATGGGCACTTATAACCACAGTTATAAGTCCGCCTATAATCTACTTAGGGTTTTTGGCTTAGGGTCTGGGATTTTACTTTATAAACTACTTAGGCACTTAGGGGGCTTAGAAGTAGAGTTCTGATTCGGGCCTAAACCCTAAACCCTAAACCCTAAACCCTCAACCCTCAACCCTCAACCCTAAACCCTAAACCCTAAACCCTAAACCCTCCGTTTGAAGACTTGCGTACCTAACCTCAGGTCCGCACTGCCTGAACTGTGAGGATCATGCGAAGGCAACTCCGAAGCCCGAAGCCCTGAGGTCTAGGGGTTTACCCTAAACCCTAAACCCTAAACCCTAAACCCTAAACCCTAAACCCTAAACCCTAAACCCTAGATTCGATCCTAAACTCTAAACCCTAACCCCTCAACCCTAAACCCTGAACCTCAAACCCAAGCCCCCCCCCAGCCCCCCCGCCCCACCCCCTTTAAAGCCATCAGCGCAGGATGCCTTCATGTGGACCATGGGTTTCTAGCCACTGCCTGGGACAAAAGGGTTTTAGGGGTTTAGGTTTAGGGTTTTGGAGTTTAGGGAGGACATTTCGAGGTCGAGGATGGTTTAGGGTTTGGGGTTGAAGGCTTCGTCGGGGTTTGGGGTGGTTCAGGTTTGGGGTTTAGGGTTTAGGGTTTAGGGTTTGGGGTTTAGGGTTTGGGGTTTAGGAGGGTTTAGGGTGCTAGGATTTATGATTCCGGGTCTGGGGCTTAAGGCTTAGGATTTAGGAGCTGCCAATGTAGACTTCGAACAACTCTGCGGCGCAGAGTGGGCAGAGTGGGGTGGTGGGGGCCGGGGGG